TGGAGGAAAAAGAAGTAGGCATTGACTCTCACTTTGAAAGGGGACAATCTAATCATTGGACATCTTTCTACTGGTCTTGGACTACACTCAAGCCAAGATCTGGAAGACCTGATCTGAACTTTCCACTTGACTGGTCATGTTGACTATGGCTAGCTCCATTTATTACCTCATTAATAAGTAACAAGAATTCTACTACTGCATAATACTAAACAGTGGTATTTACTAACATAATAGTAATTTGTCCTAATAAAACAGCCTCAGTGCACCACTCTAGTCTCAGCACTGGCATTCTGGCAACAGTATGAGTGATAATATACTTGGTGTAAAAATATTTGATTAGGATGACTATTAGCAGAAACAAAGTGAGTGATAGTAAAAATGTGAAGAAAATGGAACATGTTGCCTTGCTGATAGGAATGAAATGGTATAGTCACTATGCAAAACCACATGGCAATTCCTCAAAAAAAAAAAAAAAAAAAAACTTACCATATAATCTAGCAATTCCCCTTCTGAGTATACACCAAAGAGAAGTGAAAGCAGAGACTCAGCCAGACCTGGAAGCGCAGGCCTGTGATAACCAGCCTGGGAGGCTGAGGCAGAAGGATCAAAAGTTCAAGGTCTGCCTCGGCTTCAGAATAAATTCAAGACCAACTTAAGCAACTTAGTGGGACCCTGTGTCAAATCTATATTATATAAAACTATCATATATAAATATTACATATTTATATACATAATATATAAGTGGGGAGGGGGCTAGGGCTACAGTTCGGTGATATAGTGCTTGCCTAGTATGCACAAAGCCACCCTAGGTTCAATCCCTAGTACAAAAAAAAACTGCAGAGACAAATTATCTGTACTGTCCTGCCCAGCTGCACAATTCACAATAGCTATAAGATAGAAAACATTCAAATGTCCACAGATGGATGAACAAAAACAAAATGTGATCTATTCATATTGTGAAATATTACTTCAAAAACATTTTTTTTTTTTTTGGGTCTTTTTGAGACAGGGTGTCCCTGTAGCCCCAGCTGTCCTGGAACTCACTATGTAGACCAGGCTGGCCTTGAACTCACAGAGATCTGCCTGCCTCTGCCTCCCAAGTGCTGGGATTAAAGGCGTGCACCACCACACCCAGCCTTATTTATTGTTTTTATGTGGGTGTGTGTGTGTATTGCCTGCGTGTAGGTAAGTGCAATGACTGAGGAGGACAGAAGAGACTGTCGGATCCCCTGGAAATGCAGTTACCGACAGTTGTTAGCTGCCATGTGGGTGCTGGGATTCAATCCCTACTCTTCTGCAAGACCAGCTAGTGTTCTTAATCACTGAGCCATCTCTCCAGCCCGAAATATTAGTTTTTAAGGAAGAAAAACTTGATACAAGCCACAACATAGATGAACCTGAAAGATTTCCAAGTAAAATAAGTTAATCATAGAAGTACAAATGCAGCATGATTTCACGTATACGAAGTACCTCAAGTAATCAAATCCATACACACAGAAAGTAGAATGGCGGTGGCTGGGGCAGAGGTGGAGTGCATTAGTATTTGATAGGTACAGTTTTTCACTTGGAGAAGATGAAAAGGTTCTGGGGCTGGGCAATGACTCATCAGATAAAAACTGTGCTTGCTTCAATCCCTGGAACCCACACTGTAGTAGAGAACCCACTCCCGAAAGTTGTCTTCTGGCCTCCATATGCTAGCTGTAACATGAAAGTGCACATACATATACACACCATAAATAAACGTAGTAGAAAAAAATCTGAAGACTGATGTTGATGGTTGCACAACAATGTGAATGTACTTAATGACACAGAAATGTACACTTTTTTTAAGTAGCTAAGATGGCAAATTTTATGTTACATAATTTTTACCATAATTATTTAAAAAGTAGGGAATGGTGTTAAATTGAAAAGATAAGGGGCTGGAGACATGGCTCAGTTGAGAGCACTGACTGCTCTTGCAGAGGACCCAGGATGGATTCCCAGCACCCACATGGTGGCTATGAACTGTCCTTAACTCCAGTTCCAGGGGAATCCAAAGCCCTCTTCTGACCTCCGTGGCATTGCACAACACAGGCACACTCACATACATGCAGCCAACACACTCATACACATAAAATGAAAATAATAAAATATTTTAAAAAATATTTAAATTGAAAAGATGAGGACAATTTGTTTAACCCTTCTCGTCTTCCCAAATGGAGGCATTCCTTCTGCCTCTACCTTGAGTGCTGGCATTACAGGTGTCTGCCACCATGCCCAGTTTTATGGGGTTCTGAGGACTGAATCTAGGCAAGCACTCTACCAACTAAGCTACAGCACCAGCCTTCAGTTGGTTACTAACACAGTCTGTAGTAGCGATTGAAGCCTATTTGTAATTGTAGAGTGTGGGAGCTGGGTGTGGTGGTGCATGCCTTTAATCCCAGCACTCGGGAGGCAGAAGCAGGGGATCTCTGTGAGTTCAAGGCCAGCCTGGTCTACATAGTGAGTTCCAGGCCAGCTGGGGCTACAGGGAGACCTTGTCTCAAAAAAAAAAAAAAAAAAAAATTGTAGAGTGTGTTAGTTTTCTATCACTGTGACAAAATACTTCAAATATCAAATTATAGAAGCATAGATTTGGGGCTGGAGAGATGGCTCAGCATTTAAAAGCTGGCTGCAACACCCACATGGCAGCTAGCAGCCACCCCAAACTCTAGATCCAGGGGATTCGATGCCCTCTTCTGGCTTCTGCAGGCATTGCATGACAGAGGTGCACTTACATACATTCAGGCAAAACACCTATTCGCATAAAAATAAATTTAAAATTTTTAAGGGGCTGGAGAGATGGCTCAGCAGCTAAAAGCACTGGCTGCTCTTGCAGAGGACCTGGGTTCAGTTCCCAGCACCCACATGGTGGCTAACAACCATCTTTAACTCCAGTTCCAGAGGCTCCAAACACCCTCTTCTGACCTCCATGGGCATTGCATGCAAAGGTACACTTACATACATGCAAGCAAAACATTCATATACATAAAATAAAAATAATTTTTTGAGACAGGGTTTCCCTAGTCCCAGCCCACCTGGAATTCACTATGTAGACCAGGCTGGCCTTGATCTCACAGAAATCTGCGTGCCTCTGCCTCCCAAGGGCTGGGATTAATACAGCTATAAATAATATTTTAAAGGATAGATTTATCTTGCTATAGTTTCAATCCATGGTTGCTTGGTCCCATAGCTTTGTGCCTATAAAGAGGCAACGCTGCATGGTGAGACGTAATATATGGCAAAGTAAAATTGACCACATCATGGCCACAGAGAACAAAGACAGACAGAGGAAGGGGCCAGGTCATGGTCTCAATATCATCTTCAAGGGCATACTCCTGTGAATAAAAGTTCTCCAAAAAACCTGCATCTCAAAAGGAACTTCCTGCAAAGCAGGTCAACTGATTAACACCTCAATGGTTGTAGAGAGTTTGGGAAGTAGAAGGTCCAGAGCCTAATTTATCTTGGGCCTTCTTTAGCCCCCAAATATCCATACTGTGCTCACCTCGGGCTAACCTAACATCTCAGCAGATTTTTAAAAAATAAAAACAACTTTTTAAAAAAATTTGTTTTGTTTTCTTGAGAGAGGGTCTCCATGTAACTAATTGGCCTGTAACTCACTGTATAGACCAGGCTGACTTCAAACAGATCTGCCTGCCTTTGCCTCTGAAGTTCTGGGATTAAAGGCGTGTACCACCTCACTTGGCTTGAAATAAAAAGACCATTTTCGAATGCAAGAATGTAACAAAACCCTAGCTTCTACAGAATGTCACCAGATAACCTCTGAGGCCTTTATCTGAGATTTCTTTGTTGCTGTAATCACCTACTTAATGTTTCCACTCAAGTATTTGAAGTGTCTTGCTTTGCGACTTTTGTTATGTTACTATAAAAACTTCATGAAACTGCTTCCTTCTTGGAACAAGAAATTTCCGAATTTCGAGTACCAAGGAGTTGTGTTCTCAGGCCATTGTCACTCACATTTGGCTCTTATCCCCTAGAGGTGAGAGTCGGGCTTTTGCATTGACATTCCTAATGTTCTAATTTCCACTAGACCCTAATAAACATTCCCACCTTCTAAAAGCACCACAGGCTGACTACCAAGCCTTTTAATATATGGGCCCTTGGGACAGTTACACGAGGTAAATCCTAGCAATTCCTATAGGTATCCAGAACTCTGCTTCTGATTTAGGCATCCAATCTGAGTTGCCTTCAATTATAATTTGAAACTCTTGGTAGCCCCACCAACTTCTATATTAAAAATTGAGCTTAACAAAATTACATCACTTGCAATGCTGAGACTAAGGCCTTTCAGTATAGCACAGTTTAATCCTAATTAAGGTAGGTAGTGCTGTTTCCTATTCTACAGATCATAAAACCGAGGTATAGAGAGGTAAAGTTATTCAATTATTAAGTGGTGGATTTATAGTTCTAAGGAAAGTTTCACCACCGCTCACCCTTTTCTTTGAAAAGGTAATGGTGAAGACTGAGACTTATTTGACTGTATTTCAGAGAGTGAAAATTGGAGGTGAAGATATTTCTTGATTATAATGGTCATAACTCTCAACTCCAGCAGCGTGGTGGGGCCCTTAAGGGCTAACGCGAAGCCTGAAGACAGGGCTTCTTAGATTAAGGTCAGATTTTTGAACCTAAGAAATTTCCCTCCAATTCTGAAGTAGCCCCTTAGTGACGAATCTGCTGCCTATCCCGAAAGTCTACTATTTGATTTGCTAGGTAATTAAGCCAGGAGAAATTAAATACCATTACATGCAACTGACCCATGCGGAACTCCACATGAATCATTTCTCTTGGGCCCAAAATACAAACCAAGACGAATCTGCAGCGCTGGCGTGGAGGCCAGGGGGCGGGCCCACTGACGACCATTTTTGTTTTGCGGCCGTGCGCTGTCATAGCAGCTTCACTAACAGGACCCCCACGGAGGAGGCGGGGCCTATCAGGGAGTGGGCGGGGCCGGAAGGCGTGATGATTTAAACGGACTAATGACCAGGGGCGTCTGGAAGAAGTCACCAATGAGCGGGCGTGAGGGGCGGAGCGCACAAGTCCTAGTGGGTTTGGCTGCACCACGGCTTTGGCGCATTTTCGGCTGGTTTGATTCATCCATTTTGAAGAGACGGGGGAGCGGGGGGCTCGACCGATCCAGGGACCTGAGCCAAGGCGCGGCGGAGGCTGAGAGGCCAGCAGCTCGGGGCTCAGCGGCAGAGGCCGGCGGAGTGGGGGGGTGGGGCGCCGAGCGCGCGGGGGGGGGGGTCCTGCTCCTCGTCTCGGCTCGGCTCGGTCCGGTCTCGACTGCGAACATGTCTCGGCCTGTCAGGTCAGTGTGGAGTCCGAGGCCCGAGTGGGCTGGAGGGGATCATGTTAACGGCCGAGCTGAGCGCCGCTCCGGGGCGCCCCCGGTGCCACGCGCGGCCTTCTCTTGCGGCTCTGCGCGTGGGGGGCTCGGCGGCGCGCGTGGTGGCGGCGGCGCGCCCGTGCTCGCCCACCACAGCCTAGGCGGGGTGCACTGCGGGCTCTGCGCCTGGCCCGCAGCCCAGCAGGCCTCGTCTTCGCGGCTCGCCGCTTGCCCGAGGCCGTACCGCGCGACCCTGTCCCCGCCGATCTGCTCGTGCGACGCGGAGGACCGGCCCTGTGGCCCGGCTCCGCCTCCGTCCTCGGGTCGCGGCAGGCCCCGCCTCCCAGTCGGGCCTGGGCGGGGCCCGTGCTTTCCATCGGGGGCGTGAGTTTTTAGACTGGACTCCCAGGGGAAAAAAACGGCTGCTGCTTCGCAGGGCCTAGGAGTTCAGAAAGCGTTAACCCGAAGTCCCGTGTCGTGCCCCCCCCCCCAAAAACTCCGAGCGCCCTTCCTCAGTAAGATGTCTGCACCCGGAGAGACGCGGGTTAACCGCGCGACCCAAATCCCGTGTGGTTCTCGTTTCCCTCACCCCGCGCACACGTCTCGTGTATTTCAGTAACCCTCTCTTTCCCTGAGTGACTTTGGTTGTAAAGGGACTACACTCCGTTAGTAGTCAGACTATTCCCTGTATTTGGAGAAGTTTGCTGCTTCCCCTGTGGTTGGCTTCGCTCTACTGCCCTCAGGTGTTGCTGTACGCCCTGGCCTTGGGTCGAAGAATGTGGTTTAGTCCAGTCTATTGAGGTCTTCAAGAGAAGAGCCAGGTGACAGGGTGAAAGAATAGCCACTTTTTCTAGTGTTTTCTAAATCGGTTAAAGATTTAGTTTTTGAACTTTTAATCGTAGTTGGGTCTCCATTTTAAGTTTTGCAGGCAGCGGAGGTATCTTAAAGAGTACTTAAGAGAATAGGCATCTGGAAACTGTTTAGTGCCACACCATTGTCACCTGCCACGAACTTCTTACCGGTGATGGTATGGGCCTGCAAACTCCTTCAGGCACGGGGGTGGGGAGTGGGGGGTGAGGACTGTAAATAAGTAACCTGCTTTTATTTTATGTGTGTGGGTGTTTTACCTATGTATAGGTACCATGTGCATGCAGTGCCCACGAAGGCCCGAAGAGGGCGTCCAATTCCCCTGGGATTGGAGTTATGGCTACCTTGTGGGTGCTGGGAACCAAACCCTGGTCCTCTGGAAGAACAGCCAGTGCCCTTAACTACTGAGACATAATCTCCATCCCACTGCCTGCTTTTCTTAGGTTCAGTTTCAACCTTACACCCCAAATCATCATCTCTGTTGTGAAACTTTTTCTGGCAAGGAGTCAGTGTATAGTGTGAGTACTTTGGGGGGGGCTAAAATAATTAAACGGTGCCATCGACTCAAGACACTTTGTTTAGAATTAGGAAACATAAAATGATTTTCGCTGTCTGTATTGAATTCTTTGTATTGGAAGTAATTCCTTTGTGGTGAAATTACTATCTTACAAGTTTGCTGCCTATTAAATTTCAGTACAGTAAGTTTTGAAGACTTTATTGTTGAAATGACTTTCTTTTTTAAAAATATTTTATTATTTTCTATGTGTATGGGTGTATTTGCGTGTATGCACGTGCACCCATGTTGTGCAGTGCCACGGAGGTCAGAAGAGGGCCCTTAACAGCTGAGCCATCTCTCCAGGTCCTGAAGTGACTTTATTAATCTAAGTTTGTGTTCCCAAATTTAGATATTGGGACATGAACAGAACTTTTTTACTGGAAAATTTGGAAGGGTTTTTTGTTTCTTTTATGTGTATAAATAGTTTTGCCAGCATGTATGTAGGTGCACCCATGAATGCAGTGCCCATGGAGGGTAGAAGAGGGTTTCGGATACCCCTTGGAACTGGCATTAACAGCCAGTTGCTAGCTACCATGTGGGTGCTGGGAACCCAACCGGGGCCTTGTGGAAGAGCAGCCATAACTGCCTAGCCATCTCTCCCACCACAAAGAAAAGCATTTTTTTTTTAATCAGCGGGTTCTTGTACATATATTAAGAACATCTTACTCAGTTTTTAAGTTTTTTTCCTTTACTTTCAAGTTTCAGAGAAACTTTAGTGATGAAGCCTCCTGTATCTAATTTTTAAAAATTTAAGGCCCTGAATGGTAGTACATGCCTTTAGTCTCAGTGATAGTGATCAAGCGGCAGAGGCAGTTGGATCTCTGAGATTGAGGCCAGCCTGGTCTACAGGTTGAGGCCAGCCTGGTCCAGGCCAACTGGGGCTACAGGGAGACTCTGTATTAAAATTCAGAAACAAAACAAAATAAAAATAATATATTCATGACCAATTATATAGCATAAATAATTAAACTTGAGTTTGGGTTGTTAAATTTTGCAATAAAGTTCTGATTTAGGAAAATGCTATTGCCTCAAAGTGTAATTGAATATTTCCTTGGACTTGGAACATTTAAAGATAGAAGCAATTGTAGACATTAGCATGATTTCAAATTTGTCATCATTTAAAAACAAGACACATGGGCTGGAGAGATGGCTCAGTGGTTAAGAGCACTGACTGCTCTTGCAGAGGATCCAGGTTAGATTCCCAGCACCCACATGGTGGCTATGAACTGTTTTTAACTCCAGTTCCAGGGGAATCCGAAGCCCTCTTCTAACCTCTGAGGCATTGTATGACACCGGCGCACTCGAATACACGTAGGCAATACAATCATACACATAAAATAAAAATAAAAGACACATGTTGGAAAATATTAGTGCATCTTTTGATGTTCATGTTTGCCTTTAGGCTGTATGTATTATATAATTAGTATGTATAAAGCCATTTTTCTGGATTCTGTTTTTACTGCAAATGCTTTTATTTTAATAATGTAACATTTAAAGAAGCATTTAGAAATGCATTAATAGTTTTGACAGCAGTTTCTTATTTTTTCACCCCGTTGGACAGAATCTCATGTAGCACAGGCTTGTCTTGAATTTACTATATAGCTAAGGCAGGCTTTGAACTCTTGATCTTCCTGCCTCTATCTCCCAAGGGTTAGGCCTGGCTAGTGTTCTTTGACACCAGTTTCTAAATGAAGCTGGTCTATAGCACAATTGTCCACAAATGTTTATCTGGCACATTGTTTATTTTGTTCTGGAGATTGACCCAGATGCTCACATGCTAAACAGGTGCTCTCTCTGTCATTGAGCCACATCCCCAGTTAGCACATTATTGATACAAGATTGCTGTCATCACTTTTCAAAAAAACATGTTATATTTTTAAAATTTATGTGTGTGTGAGCGTTTGCGTGCATGGAAGTGCATCTGTGTGGAAGTGCATCTTTGTTGTGCAGTGCCTGTGGAAGTCAGAAGAGGGCATCAGAACCCCTAGAACTGGAGTTACAGATGGTTGTTGGCCGCCATGTGGGTGCTGGAAATCCAACCCAGGTCCTCTGCAAGAGGAGCCAGTGCTCTTAATTGCTGAGTCATCTCTCCACTCCCATTATCATTTTCTTTTACAGTATCTATGACCCTCAGTTTTAGGCCTTAGAAGTTAATTGCATAACATTATAGTTCTAGAATTAGGAAGAAAGTGAGGTGAACTCAGATCACAGGGGCTCAATAGGGGCCTTGACATGTTAGTGGATGCCAGAGTTGGGCCTAGAACTTAGGTTTATGTTCTTTTTTCTTTTGCTAATGTGTTTTTATGAAGGCTTGTATTCTGGATAAAAAGTATCTGATGTTTTCCATAGGTCTGTACAGGAACTACAGCTGAGGTAACACATTCTAAATACAATTCTAAACAACTTTAACTTGGAGTCTGTTGGAGCAAATAGTTTTGGAAGGTATTGAACTCTAAGAGGACAAGGAACCCGTGAGCTGGCAGTACAGATGGGGTGAGGGGCACAGGCAGCCCTTAAATTCCAAACTACAATTCAGATGGCAGTAAAACTCATCAAAAATGGCCCCTTCCACAAAACTATGGTAATTTTGTTCTCTAAAAGGATTTTTTTAATTGAATTTTAAAGAATTTTTATTTATTTTTATATGTTTGTGTGTATTGCCTGATGTATGTAAGTGCACCCATGTCGTGCAATGCCCACCGAAGAGGCTGTCAGATCTCCTGGAACTGGAGTTACGGACAGTTGTTAGCTGTCATGTGGGTGCTGGGATTCGAACCCAGGTCTTCTGCAAGAACAGCCAGTGTTCTTAACTGCTGAGCCATCTCTCCAGCCCTAAAAGGATTTTTTGTTGTTTTTGTTTTGCTTATTTTACTCATGGAACAGGACAAAAAAGTTAGGCACAGGTGGTGAAAATGACAGTCTCTATCATCTGTCAAAGTACCTGGTACTGGAAAATCCTACAGAACCTGGATTTCTTCATTAGCTGTGTCCTGCTTATTTCCTCACCTCCACAGTACTCTCTTCTTTCTTTCTTTTTTTTTTTTTTTTTTTTTTTTTTTTTTTGGTCTTTTTGAGACAGGGTCGGTCTCCTTGTAAGCCCTGTAACCCTGCTGGCTTAGAAATCGCTATATAGACTAGGCTGGCTTCAAACTCACAAAGATCTGCCTACAGTAAAGTGATCAGTATTGATTAAAGCATAGTTGTTTATGACTTTCAGAGTGCTTTCATGACTTCTATACCCTGAAGAGAAAGAAGGAACTGTCATACAGATAAATGGTAGTGAATACTTTTAACCCCACCTCTCAGGAAGGAGAGACAGATAAATCTCTGTGAGCTCAAGGCTAGCTTGGTCTACATAGCAAGTTCTAGCCAGTGCTCTTTGTAACAAAACATAAATGTGCTTGGTTTATTGCCTTTTGTTCATTTTTTTTCTTTTTAGTTTTTGAAATTATATTTATTTCTGTTATATGTGGGTGCATATGTTTGTGTCTATATGTAGGCACTTGCACTCCCCCCAAGCCCCCAAGCATGTGAAGGTCGGAGCGCAACTTACAGGAGT